TATTATTACTATTATGAATATTGTGGCCCCTTGATGGCCCCTTACTTAGAAAAATCCTGGATCCGCCACTGTCATGATATTAAACACATGCAAACAATAATGGACAACACCAAACTCGAATGAAAAGTATTGAATATCAAATCAGGCTGATCCAATTGGACCAAGGTTTCAGAAATCAGGGTGGACCAGGGCCATAGGGGCTAATGCAAAAAYGCCAAACCTAGATTTGAACCCCCCCGGCTGGGCCATGCAGTGCAAATATGCCATTTCCTCCCAGATTTGTCCAAATGGTTTGTTCATGTGGACATGGTTATTTGCAGGCACATTTATCCATTAATGAATTGATTGAAAACTGAAGAGTATTTAAACTCTTCTTCCACCCATGGGTCAAAAAGACTCAACAGTTTTAAAACTGAAGCCTCAGTCTGGTTGCTAGTATTGTTAATATAGACTGTAATATCTAGACTCCTGCTGCCTTTGGTTCATGCCACAGCAACAAAATGAGAATCATCTTGCATATGCTGGAGATTTGAGTCACACACAGTTGGCTGCAGACAATTAGCCTGAGCTGCTGCTTCCTGAAAGTCAGATAATCAAGGCCCTACTGTGAGCAGAAACCGTATCACGCCAAAACCAAATGCCTTCATTATGCATATGATAGATGACAGGAAACGATGGAAGAAAAGGAGGAAAATGACACGTAACAAGGCTCCAGCTGGACATTGAAATTCGTAGCTGGCTGAAAGAAAAATTTGATTAAAAAAAGTTTAGTGCTAAAGAGGGCAGAGGAAAATTAAGACGTGGGTCAAAATGTAGTTTATTGGTATTTAAATAACAAACAAATGCAAACAACTAAACAAGGGTTTGTCTTTGTAATKTAATTTCTTTTTTTAAATTAGACGATGAATGGATGGACACAGACACCATCTACTGGCCTCAAAGTGAGCTGTAAACTATTTTTCTGAAAATCTTTTTTTAACTAATCAATATGTGTTTTCAGATGACATGGAACCACTTCACAGTTCTTTTCACTATTTAGACATACGCCTTGCTTTGCACTGATGGTATATAGGTGGATAAACATACAGTAATTATGTTGATCATGTCTTTTTTAGGTCGTACTTCAGAGAAGGTGCTTTCTTGCTTCAACAAGGACTTTCAAGTGACATAASGGAATGTGGTCAAACAAACTGATTGTTCTTTGAGCATTAAAACTGCTTTCACATAGCTACAAAAAATATAATTCACTTAATCTACTTTCTGTGTTGCACGAAAAGTCGACTGATCTGTCATGAGTCCTGACTYGTATAACTCCTTCTGATTGTTTATACTCTTTTAAGCTCTGTGTTAAATATTAAACYCAAGACCCACAACACAGCTCGAACTGTGGGCTCCACCAGTGTTGCTGATGGTGAATGATGTGTGTACAAACTGGGCAGCACACTCTCAATGTTTCCTTGGAGGTGCAAAAGCAATAAATAGGTTTTGTAATGGCTTTCAAAGTGGGACTAATAGTCCTTTAAGGTATTTGGTTCAAAATCTTTTGTTCCAGATTGCTTTTGGAAGAAACTGCACCAGTGTGCTTTCTATCAAATACCAAAAGGACCATCCAAACTGTTATCACAACCAAAAGCCAAGATCTTTGATTGTACAAGGTAGCAGTTCCTTTGGAAAATTCTGCCCAAMCCACCAAACACGACTGTGGAAGAAGAGGGAATCTGTAAAAAACTGAGCTTAGCTGTCCTCAAYACCATACTACTGCACACTTGCAAATTTATTTAAAGTAAAAGTAGGCTAAAACAACAAGCTAAGCACCTCGTTACTTCATAGTCACATTGTTTTAATTCATTTCAAGTGTTACAGGAAGTAGAGAAACAACATTGTAAAATGAAAAAAAAAAAGCTTCACCATTCCAACTTGTTTTGGAATGTAGGCAGAAATGAACATTTGCATTTAGTGTCAAGATGCTAAAGTGACACTGACCAGCACGAAGCTGTCGTAGATCTTCATCAGCTCCTCTGTCCGATACTGTTCCAGTACCACCACCCCCGCCAGCGAGGAGTTCTTCGCCCGGGCACAGTCCTCACAGTGCACCACGTAGGTCTTTTTACTGCTGTTCTCACTGCTCACAAAGAGCAGATCAAACACTTCCACCTGCACAAAGCACAACCCAGGCATCTCAGGTTTACAGCATATTTGGGCTGCATTAGGAGGAACGAACAGAGTCGGAGGAGGAGGAACTCACATCACACTTGTTGCAGTAGTAGGCTGGCTCGTCCTTCACGCGGCCCTGGTAAAATATCTTCTTCCCTGCAGCCACCAGCTGCTCTCTGAGAATTTGGATGTGCTTGATGGACTGCAGGAGGCAGTGTCTGACGGAGACACGGGGAGTAAAAGACGTTAACAAAYGCCCACTTGTTTAAATATTCATGCAGACACACGTCTTACTTGATCAGCTTGAAGGTATCCTCGTCCGTGATCTTGATGGTTCGAGCAACATTCCACGACACGTGGATCATGGGAACAATCGACTTRACTTTCTTCACCTCATTCCATTCGAAGCGCTCCAGGGCGAGCTGATATTGGTAAGCTGAAAAACAAAAACAAAGAGTGATACAGCTGGCAGAAGGCTGCTCTTGAGTTTTTTTTTTAAAGTCCATGCCCTACAGGTGAGAGGTCCCACATTCCAGGCAATATTGTTGCACCAGCCCACTGCCTGGACCCAGTGAACAGTCCCRGCGTTAATCCACACCAGGTCTCCGGGTCTCTGAATGAAGCGGTAGACAGGGATGTTTGAGCTATAGAGGTCCTCCAGGACTGGCCACCAGGACCCTGTGAGGTAGTCCACTCCATGCCTGTTGGAGACCGTTAGCATCAGACCAACTAAGTCTATAAACGAAACATACTGCAGCGGACTGTAACGATCTGAATGCTCACTTATCACAGAATTTGTTGATAGCGTCCCAGTAGCGTTCGTGGACAGCGAACCACTCACAGTCTCCCGGTCCGATATTGATGTTGACAGAGCAGAAGTTGTTGTTCTCCTGATGGCCTGATGGAAAACACAAGCTGAGATTTATCTACAGAGGCTTCTAAAATCCTGTCTGCGACATCTGGCACACACTGACCTGGCGTGCGGCTGCCTGGCACCTTCATGTAGAGCTGGACGGTGTTCATGCCCAGGATGGTGTGACCCACGAGGCTGAGCATGTTGTTGTTGGATTCAACCCGCATGAAAGCTGGCAGCTTCAGCAGCTCCTGTAGCTGGGGTTTCCACCTTGTAAGAAAACAAACAAACAAAAAAAAAACAAACAAAAAACAAATCAATGCAAGTAATCTAACGGGGAAATGATTTACAATATCCTCACCTTTTAGGGTCGGAAAGATCAATGTTGGTCCCAAATTTAATGATCTTTCCTGCTGTTTTCTGCTCTGGGCTGTGGGAAACGTAGATGTGTGAGCTAATTATTGTTTTCACAGATAATTTTGGGTTTCTTCTCATAGAGAGACAAGGATTTGTGTCTAACCTGAGTGTGCTCGTGGCATGAGCCGGCTGGCCTTTGTTGCTGGCAGCAGCAGAGGGAACATCTTTACTGTCCGTTAACAACAGAGCAGTTTTTGAGGTTGCTGACTGCTCTGAGGTCTGCTCTTCTTCCTCTTCACTTTCACTCTCCTTCTCCTCCTGTAACACATGAACACAAGCTTAGCTAAAATATAGTGTGTCAGTAGCACAGACAGTAGTGGGCACAGTACAGATAGTCTGCTAACAGCTAATAGCAATGAAAAGATTTTGATTAGTGGATTAGCATTTTCCATTAATGCATTTTCAATCAGTGTTTACAATGTTTACCTGCAGGCTCTCCTGGAAGCTGGAGGCCTGGTACTGAGCGTATTTGGCAATGGTGGTGTGAGAGCGGCTGCTTTCGCAGGGCCACGTCTGTGCGGAGCCACTCGCATTCCAGTTCTCGTCAGCTGGCTGCTGAACCTGAGTCCTCACTTCCACAGCATGGTCTGAGTTGGCCTCAACCAGAGATTTGGTAGAGAACAGGCCAAGATCTCACGTAGAAGAATGACAATTGAGAGCAGTGTTAACAATAGTTAATGGTATGAACAATAAGATGCTGGTGTGGTTTAACTTACTAAGGCGGAGAGAGCCAGCAAGGCCTCGGATGACCGTAACGGCATTTTTGGGATCAGTGCAGAACTGAAGTAGGACGGGAGAGAAGGCGTCCCTCTTACTCTCCAGCTGCAGAAAAAGACAAAGTACAATCTTAAATGAACACTGCAATGAAACAAACTCATCTTCATCAAATCAACTTTTGCTTGGTTTGTGTTATTTTCTTGGATTTTATTGTTAGTTATAGTTTTGGTCATCCATGGTAGAACTAACAAAATAAAACATAAAATAGGATAAAAGTCCAATTACAGAAAAGGACTGATGGGGTTATCCCTTATTTTCCCGGCACATAGCTCTTTTATGTCAGACATAATACTACAAATCTTTTTTTTCATTTTTTCAAACCTCACATAACATCTTTAGCAATAACAAGCTAATGATGTATCATAGCAAAATACCGCCTACAAGTGACTGCTAGAGTAACTTCTGCTATGGTGGGTAATAATTGTGGTCACTAACGGTGAAATTCTAGTTTTAGGTACTAGATGGCTACGTGGCAGTGCTAGTGCAATGAAAAGACAAGTTGAAACTCCCAGAAAGTGTAGTAGCCACAACTGACTAACTTTTGGAGTCAACGTCATTCAAGATGGCCACCACAGCTTAACAGCCTTAGCCAACACAAAAGCAGCTAAAACTCTGACAGTTTTACAGAGGTATAATTTGGTGTGGTAGTAGTTGAGAGTCATCCCCAACACATACTCAGATTGTGCAAGATCTTTGTTAAAATATCTACTGGTATACTGTATATTTTCAATGTGCTGCATGATCTTATTAATAAACAAATATGTTATTGTAAGTTTTGTTTCCTTTGCTTTGACTGTTTTTTATTTCTGCAGCCTATTTATTACAGTCGTTTATGTGACACCACAACACTTTTAGAGTAAAAGCTGGTTTTATTTAAAAAGAAAAAGAGAGGATGTATGTCTTTTTTTCGGAAAAAAGGATGTACGTCTTGATACAAAACAAGAAAACTTTGCGTGATTTATCTACTAAATAAGTCAAGACCAAAGATAATCTATGTACACTCACATAAATGCTCGGTGTGGGAGGGTTAAGCTTTTCCCGAGGAATTGGAGTGTGAACATTGATGTTGGGTTTGACAGACAAGGCAGGAAGCACGTAGGACTCCTTAAATTTGCCCTTCACTTTTGTCCCCCTGTGATGCAGAAAACAGAGGAACAGAAAAGCACAAATGTTAACGTTGGTGAGCTACATTCATTGATATGTAAGGATCTAGGCTGTAGGACTCACTTGCATGCACTGATCACTTCAGTTGCTGTGTTTTGAATGTTGATCTTGGAAAGTGGGATTCTTCTTTCCTCCAGCTCTGATATGTTAAACGTTTGCCTTCCTGCACTGTCCATCTTAACCAAGATGATCTTCAGCTCCTTTGACAAACCCATGGACAATGCTTTCAGTCTCAAGGGATCCACTGGAGCTTTTGAGCAGGGAGGACTGCTTGCTGGTTTGGTAGCACCTGACTTGTTAGTAGTGATTGTTGCAGCTGAGGCTGAGTTTGAGGTGTTGTTGTCTGAGGTTGCCTTATTCTTCAACTTATTGTCTTCTACTTTGATATCTTTTACCAGGTTTGCATCGCTGTTCCCAGTGTCCAATTTGATTCTCTTGATGTCTTTGCCATGGGGGAGTTTATTTTCCTGAGGAAACTGGCCCTTCATATTGCCTGCGGGGGATCTTGAGACGACTGACACTGAGGATGAAATGCCCCTCTTGTTCGAAACCTTTACATGATTAGCTTTATTTTTTATTTTCCTCTTTTTTGCCTTTATCCTTTTTTTGATCTCCGCTCCTCTTCCCACATCCTCAGCCTTTTGTTTTCGCTTCCTGTTTGCAGCCATGAGCCCCGTCTCTTTCCTGTTTTCTCGCTCTTCCTTCGTAGAGACGCTAATGACACTGGTGAAAGAGGCCCTGTGTGTTGTGGTCACTCTCAGCTCTGCACTCAGTGATCCCTCCAAAAGAGAGGACTCTGATTTCCCCAAGAGGTTCTCAGCAAGCCTCCCTTCTTGTCTCTCCTTTGCAGAACTCTCCATCTTTTCTTGCATTTTGACAGGCTCTTTCAGATATGGTGAACTGTGGAATTCTACAAGAGATTTAGWGGTAGTGTCAGAGGGTGACTGATTGTTGGACTCAGAGGATGGTGTGGGAGTCAATTTGGAGGAGATATCCTGGTTTTCACAATCATGTATCTGTGGCACTACAGCAAGAGATGAGGAGTACTTCACTCCTTTTGTAGAAGCACCGCCAAATGGACCGCCTCGACATGTGGCTCTTTGGCTTCCAAGAAAGTTGGCAAGACTCTTGAAGACRTCGTCTAATCCTGCTTTATGCTGGTGGAACCCATTGAGAAGTGAGCCAGACGTTTTTCCACTGGTGTTTACCTTGTCTTCTTTGTCTTCCTCTATGTCTGGTTTGATTGGGCAAGATGGTTCACAGAGTTCAGATGTGTCGTTGCAGGGTTTTTCATTCAATTTATCCAAACTAGGCTCCCTTTCCATGTCATCGTTGCTTTCGCTGTCTGCAGGATGAGGGGAAAAGCACTGGGTGGGGCTGGGCTGCAGAACGGGCCTACTCATTACACCTTTTTCAAGCKCTCGCTCCTCTTCCTCGAGATCCGACACAGGGGAGCCCTGCCAGCTAAGCACAGGAGGAGTGTTTGCATGGTTGTCCCCACCATCTGTCAAATTTCCCAGCATAGCTTCAGGCTGAAGGTCTGGGGCACTGAGAACCCCCCCTTGACCATCATCTTTGTTATGAATGGCTTGTTCTAAGCTAACGGAGCATGCAGTGCTGAGTAGTGCTGAGGCTTTACACACAACAGAAGGGAATGTGCCATTCAAGTGTGTTTTTGGTCCATTCTCCGAGGGACATAATRTGTTGCTGGTTTGTTTGGGGCAATTAGAGAGAGATTTTGTTGACTGCTTTTTGACAGAGGGTTGAGAGGGACTGTGTTTCTTTTTTGGCTTCTTACCCGATTTTAATGTTGAATGCTGTGAAGTGCAGCTGGGACGAGGACATTCTGTGGGTGGACTGACTGATGTCCTCTCCCTGTGCTTTTGTTTGGGGGATGACTGGCTTTGACTCTCTGAGGATGAAGATGGTGTCTCCACTTTACTGAATTTGGCCTCTCCTGGACACAAGGAAGCAGAGGAGGAAGAAACCACTTCCTTCTTTGCCTTTTTGAATTTTCCATTTAATTTTATGTCCTTCAACCCTTTATCTCTCTTTCTCTTCTTTTCCCCTGAGCGTTTTTCTTCTCTCCTCCGTCGCCGTTTCCTTTCCTCATCCTTTCTGTATGCCTTTTCGGCATTGTTCTTTCTCTCCTTTTTCAGAGCCTTGTCTTTCTGTTTAGACTCAGTTTTTCTGACATCCTCCTTCACCTTCTCGGGCTTGCTTGCTTTTGAGTTGGCGAGGGGAGACTGTTGTGAGCAGGTCTTCCTGCCTTTGGGATCTGAAAACCTGGATTTGGAGACAGCATGAGATGTACGAATCTTGGTAGATGTCAGGCCGGGTCTTGATGCATGACTTGGGCTTGCTKGGCTTTTCTGCTGCTCTTTTAGGCTGGAACAACCAGGCTGAACATCTGGGGAATCTTTTCTGCCACTGGTCTCAGTGTACAACGAGGGACTGGAGAGAGCACCTTGGCGGCTGGAAGCAGAACCACCATCTTTTGGATGAGAGGAACGATATGGTGGAGAGTCTGTAACTGAATTCTTGCTGATTGATGGATCCCTTGAGTTGCCTTTTAGATGGGTGTGATGAGTTTCCTGCAAATGATAAAGGGTCTGATGGCTCTAATAGCAACATTGAACTTGAAAGGTTGTATGAGTTGTAAAAAACAGGTTTTAAAGTGATCAATCAAGACAGATGTTGGTTCTTACTGTGCTTTGTTTGTGGTGAGGACCCCAGGAGTCCTTCTCCTCAAGAGGCTGCAGGACCGCATTGTGCTGTGGGACTCTCGGGTGGGTTGTGTGCCGCTGATGGTGGTAATGATGACTTTGCTGGCTGTAAGGCACACGGGTGGGGTCTGCTGGTGAAGCCGAGATTTTCCATTCAACCTTTTCTCTGTTACAATGGTATGATGCTTTGCCTCCACAGCTCTGGTTCACAAGTTCTGAGTTACCAAAGTCATGGCCTTCAGCTCGCACTTCAGAGGTTTCCTTCAGCAATAACAAAGCAATAACAGTAGTCAGCTATGATATTTGTAGAGATAGTTTTTTAAATTACAATTAGGGCTGCATGATATTAGGAAAACTTGTGATAACAGTGCTTAATATTGACTATTGATGATATGACTTGCGATAAATGAACAAATAGTTAAGTAAACAGTGTCAATGTCTTTCTTCTCTGGGTTCAGAGCAAAAATAACAACTAATATATCATTTCACAACATGACAATTTTTTTTAAAAGTGCAACTAGACACAACTGCTTTATTAGCAGGTAAACAAACTGCATGCAATACAGCTTCTTAATAACTTTAAAACATTTCCCCCATTAAACGTATTCTATCATTTTTTTACATAACTTATATAAAAAAAATCTGAAAATAAGTTAACAAACTTAAACCCAAGTGTGAATTCTCTCATTGAAGGTTTCCAACATTTTCTCCACTGACCAAGTGGTTATAATTTAATGCAGTAACTCTGGTCCATTTTGTTTATCAGACTGATGCTGACAAAACGCATAAATGCAAACATTTGAGCCAACCGTTTATTGCAGTTTACGCWGTTGTTTTGCCATCCGCCAAAAATAGGATCAAATCAAATTTTGGTGGATCGCCATGTGCACGCCGCCACACTGCGGATGCAGTGTAAGTGCTATTACTGGTTATAATGGCTGCATTTTTACTGCGGAGTTTAAAGCGAAGTGCAGTGAAGCAGATTGTATGCAGTGTAAATTGGGGTAAGTCTCCAATAGTTGCAGTCCAGAAATACAGTACTACCTTTAGCTGTGGCCTTACATTTAGTGTAAAGTCCTTTGAACTACAGCAGTTCATAATCAACTGCATGGTGCTCAGGTTGTGGTGGCAAAACAAGCCCAAATCATCACACCTCTTCCACCGTGCAGACAACAGGTATGAGGTGTCAGCTTTTGTCTTATGTTTTCATTGTTGTTTGTTAAATAATGTTGCAATGAGGTCTGTTCTGTGTTTTTGTACACTTCAGGTCTGATTTGAAATAATTTAAAGCCTGGTAAGGCTGGATAATTCAGAAAACCTACAACTGAAAGAGTTGCAGATCTCAGATGATGTGTAAGCTCACCTGTTGCTGTGTTGATGAGGTCCTGTATTCAGTGTGGTAGCAAGGACCTGCCCTGTCATCCTGGTTGCACCGGTGGTGGCTGGGTGATGATGGAGCGTGGGCAAGTAGAGGCAAATGCCTCAATCCAGGGTGACATGGCTGCAGAGGTAAAAAAATAAATAGGTGACTGAGTTTAACCAACAGATGGCGCTGTTTTACCAAAATGAACAGACAAGGACTGTTTTTGCCAACTGAGATAAAGTTTGTTACTTGATCAGGGCTGAAGTCTCGTTTCCTCTTCGCCGGACACCCATTCCTGGGAGACAGATGGTGCTGTGGGGGTGGGCTGTGATGATGTCGCTGGTGGAGGGCTGGCCGTTTCCAGGGTCCTGGTCTGTTGTTTACCATTCTGCCGGTGAAGTTTCTGTGTTGGTCAGAGGTGGCCCATCTATCTGGAGGGGGCTGCAGTTCCCTGTTGTTGCGATTCAGACGAGGATCCCCATGCTATCAAAAATACACACACAAAAAACAAAACAAAAAAAAAACAGTTAATACACACGTACATGATCGTCTACAGTCGGCGGTTCTCACCAAATTGCTGCTGACATTGTACTGCCAGTCTACGTAGCGCTGGCCGGGTCTTGCCAGGTAACCATTGGCACCTCCTTGGTTGCTGAACGAGCGTGTAGCGTTGAGATGCCAGTTCTGGGCCTGGAACTGTTGTTCTTTACTGTCCCAGTTTCGGAATGGCTGACGATGTCCCTTCGGCATGACTTTGTCCTGGACATGACTTCTGTCCCCTCTAGAAGGATAACAAGAAATCTGAATCCATACAAATTCAACACAGTTCTAACAAACAAGACATCTGTCCACATCCGTCAACACATGGAATCTAATCTTTAAAAGCACCTTCAGTAACGCGTGTGTTACAACTGATCAGTATCACAGTCAGAACCTTTTCAGTCCAGTGTGTGGTGGATACAAACTGCTTCACTCACCTATTATAAAGACGACCTGATGGTGAATGATGGGACTGGTTGCGCCCTTCTTGGCATCTGCAGAGAAGAAGAGACAGAAGATCAATACTGTTTGCTGCAATGTACTTTATTTGAGATGATAATATTATACATCTGAACCTTCTGACACTGGCTGCAGGTTGGACTGATGGCAAACAGAGTTGCTCTTGTTCTCCTGTTTCAAGTTTTTGGTATAATTCTGCATTTTGTTATTTTGAACGTCTCAATCAAGATTCGTTTCCCTCCCTTGAGCTGAGCTGGCCTCAGCTGCTTCAGTTAAACAGTAGCTCCGCTGAAGCTGCAGCTGAGGATGTTTCGCTCCCGTTTATCAGTCTTCTGCTTGTTCTCACTGCGCATTGAGTTCATCCACACAGCTGCAGCTGAAACAAGAGCGTCTCATGAATGTGCTCATCAGTTTCAGTTGAATTGGGCATGTGTTGTGATACTTACTGTATCTCGTTTTATACCATTAGTTCAGGTAGAAGAGCTTAATGTGGAATCACCTGAGTCTCATCAATGACATTTGTATGATAGATTTCAGTCACATGACTCGCTGACAGCCTTGTCGGAAATGCTGCTTGTCTTCAGTCAAAACTAATTAAATTACCCATCCATGGGAGAGAAACAAAAATACGAGGAAAAAATACAAATGTTGGAGACTTGTGGGATCCACGTTCTGCACCGGCAGCTTTATTTACCTCCCTTAAAGTGACGATGTCCCTCCCAGAGCTCCAGCCTGTGACACATATGTCACGGGCTGGAGAGCTGTGTGTGTTTTTAATATGAATGGGTAAATGCTGCTGTCTGTTTTGGCCTGGGACACTGTGGAAAAGCAGAGATTGGTGCAATTTGTCCTGCATTACGATGTACCCCCCAACCTCAAACAGGATGTTATCAAATAACAATGAGCTGCATGACTTTATTAAAATATGCAAATGCTGTATTATTTTTGTGACATCAGCTTTGATTAGCAATGTCTTAATTAAAGGTTGTTTCATATTCCATCCAAAGCTGAGAAATCAGCTCTGATTGATGTAGTTATGTGACAAAAATCCCATTGTTTTGTTTTCAGAGTAGCTTCGCACACCTGTTGTCAACACAAGGTCCGGTCTGTACTTTTCCTCACAGGAGTATGAGCAAAGTATTGTGTGATTGGTCAGAAGTTTGTGGGTGTGTTTCTTTATATGGAAAAGTGCTCAGACAGCAACAGACCGAGTGGAGACCCCCTCAAAAAGAAACCCTGTGCTGTGATGTGTACTGAAGGGAGGGGTTCCCCAGGAGCTCTGTGCCATGTGTGGACTATGAAAAGTTTACAAGATAAGTGAGTCTGACACTGATCAATGGAAAAAGCCATCATTATACCTCTGATCTGATCCTTCTGATTGACTCAGGACGGCCCCAGTTGTAGTAAAGCCACATGTTGCTTGCGCTCACAACAGGAAGCAGAGTAGCTGAAGTGAAATTAYGTCATTGCTGCTTGAGCTCTTTTCCACATAAACAGAGATCAGAACAGAGGCTTTGCTCATTTCCTCTAAGAAGAAGTTTAGACCAGGCCTTGTGTCGAGAAGGAGCGAATGAGCTCCTCTTAAAAACAAAATAATTATTGTCATATTTAATGCTCTGTAGGGAAACACTGACGTTCATGAGTTCAAATCAACATGTAAAGAAAAGACACGAGGCAAACTTGTCTCTGAATTCTGCACTTTCTTTAGGAAAACATTGAGCTGCAAAGCAGGAGTATTTTGTGTGATTGGTGAGCTGGTGCTGCTGACCTTTGTGTGTTGTTCCAGGGCCGACCGTTCACAGGCGCCCATGGTCCTCTGTTAGGCCCTCCAGCTGGATAGGAGTCCCATGTGTTACGGCCAGAGTAGAACTCTGCTGGGTGATACATGCAGCCTGGAATACAGATCAGTATGTGCTCAGTTCCTGATCAGTACAGTCTGAGCACATACTGATCTTAGAATAAAACACACAACTATCCACAAAGTAGATGAAAGATGACAAAAACTGCTACAACACAGCATTTAAACCGTATCAGAAGAGTAATKACAGTGGAGATAAAGAGTTTGCAAACATTTCGGAGAGTTTCGACAGCTCAAATGTGATGTCTTTACACTTTGGATAGAATGAAGATTCAGTGCAATTTTGCATTAATTATTCTATAGAACTATAAACAGAATTCTTATATGTTTTACAAAAATGTTTTGATAGTCCCTCTACATGATGTTTACTACAGTTTTCAGCACCGCTAAACAGAAACAAGAACAAAACGTATGTGGTTACCAGTCTTGGTCTGTGTTTGGGAGGCCCTCTGCTTCACACTYGAGAGCAAAGAGGCAACCTGCAGACGGAACACACGTGTGAGAAAAGCAGCGTGTTCATGTGAGGCTGAAGCAGAAAACTCTGCAAGCTTGACACAGCGCCCAAACAAAGACTCGTTTCTGTCTGGTTTAATCTGGAAATGGACTTTTGATACAATGAATCAGATTGTGATAACCAGCAAGAGTTACTTTGTGCACAGGACCTCTGACGTCCCATAACACTGTTTTTTCTGCTCGGCTGTATCTGTTCAGTGATTGTATCATCAGTCTGTGAACTCTGATCACAGCCTCCCCGCAGATACCACAGCCTCTTCTGAATAGTGGCAACCTCACTTTATGCACGAGAGGGGAAAAAAACTTTATTTGAACTATTTACCAAATAGTTAAACTGCTATTACCTGTACTTTACATTATTGTATATTTTACGACAGTAAAGTTAGATTTGCAACAAGACGTTAGAGATAATGTCAGTGATTTTAGACCAGATATCCTTGACAACTTTTTATTATCCGACTCAAAAAAAAAAAGGTAGTTCAAAGCTTTGAAGTGGGGTTCTGCGCAAGTATTATGAACAGTATTTATCTTATCTGTTTTCAGTCTTATTTGAACTACTTGGACATTTGGATAACTTTTTGAATCATCTTACTTTGATGAAATAAACTTAACTCAAAAAGTAAATTTGTAAGAAAAATTGTAGCTCATCAGTGCAGTCAGAAATAAACCATTTGTCCAAATTGAAGTCTTTCAAATATCTATCTATTATAGGTAAAATACTTGTTTCTTATCACCTTTAACATACTAATATTATGAAGGTTGATGAGATACCTTTTCTTTCCCCAAAAAACATTGTTTACCAGTAACTGAGTAGGTGTTAAACTGAGTTGAGGTTTTTATTTGAAACTATTTTCTCCCTCTAAAGTAAAACCATGTAGAGTGAGTACACACACACACACACACACACACACACACACACACACA